TGGAAGATAGATTATTTTACCTCTTTTAATAGGATGTAAATATTTTCTAACGCAAAAAAGCTGTAAATCTTTGCGAGTCTTTAACCCATTCTTTGGTTTCCCACAGTGCAACAATGCTTGCACACACAATTCTCTTAACATGTATGACATTGAAACTGTGTTTAACTGCCAGATCTTGAAAAATAAAATAAAAGTAAATATAGATAAATGCTAAACTTTGTAAGCATCCCAGTTACAACAATACTATTCAAAGAGATCACTATAGAAACATTCAATAAGGCAACTTGAAAAAGATAGACCTTTTCTTCAACCTTGATGGTCTTCCTCGTCGTTTTCTTCCTCTTCCTCTTCCTCTTCATCTCATTCACTTTCTTCACTTTCATCACATGAGGCTGTCTCAATTACAGTTTCAGTCCTAGCTCTCTTCTTCTCTGTCTCTTTCCTATTCCCAAAATCAATTTTGAATTTTTTTTAAGAGGACATATATATTATGACTAGTTAATATTTTAACCTTACTCTCATGTTCAAATTTTCAATCAAACCATGTTTTCTTCCCCTGATAACTGTGATTTGGTGGTAGACCATTGCGATGACACATATCAACATGCTTTCTACCTTTACATAACCACATATTGTCAATTTTTTCTACGTAAAGGACAACCCATCTTACCTTTTACTTTGCATACTACAAGATTTCCATATAGAGGGAAATCATTGATAGTCCATAGGAGCATTGCTTTAGGGTTGAAAGTACTCTTACTGTAGGCATCATATGTTAACTTTCCGTTGCTCCACAACTGGATAAGATCCTCTTTCACGGGTTATAACTAAACATCAATGATATTACCAGGTTAATGCAGCCAGAAATCAACAAGGTAAGCATTAGCAGCATTATGTTTTCTTCTTTCATACACAGGTCTCGAGTAATATTATAATTAACTAGTTATATGTTCTTTTTTAATGCAGCAAAAGTAGGGTATTTGGCATTTACTTGCTTCCGAGTCACATAATCTACAGGGTGAAAAACATTTCCGTCTTATTACTGAAATGGCACCTTAGGTCATTGGCTTGTTGCTCAGACCTAAACATTCTCTTTAGATGGGTATAATTGGAAAGTACCTTAGAATTTTTCGGTGAAACATTTTTCTTTTTTTGACCAGTGTGCATGTTTATCTTCCATCTTCCATCTAGAAGCTATGCATTTAGGACATGCGTCAAGCTTCTTCAGCCTTTTCATGAATAGATAATAATTATTAATACAAGCATGAATATCTTTTAATAACCTATATCAAAAGATTTCAGGAACTTCTTCACATCATACATTGATGTATATAGAACATTATCTTCTAGTAAAATGTTTGGTAAAGTCTTCTGAAGATCATTGAAGCTTTTGTCTGACCACCCATTTTGTGTCTTTATTTTATACAGTGACACAATTGTAGAAAGCTTGCTATGGTTTGCACAACTTGGGTATAAAGGAGTTTGACATTGATAAGTCTGCATTTTACTTGTCTTAGGCATCCATTTCTCATCACTTTAGCATCCTATCACCACTGTTTCATACCATTTCGCAACATTTGTCATCACATTGCATGTTTAGGATAGTTTTGCATGCATATTGCATATTTGTGTTGTTTTCAGGTGAATTGGAGCTGATGGTGAACTAATTGGAAGAAGTGGACCTGAACCAATCAACATACTCGACCATGAGCTCGAGTAGTGTCATCATGGACTTTTTGAAGTACTCGCCACAACCTCTACAGCTGATCACTTGACCACGACACTCTATCCACCACTCGACCCTTAGGTCGAGTAGAAGACTCACCACTTCTCACAACCACTCGACCCCGAGGTCGAGTAGCAGCCATCACCATTTCTCACCATCACTCGATCCAGTTGTCGAGCATCACCATCATCAATCACTCGATCGCACACTCGACCTCGTGGTCGAGTCCCCTCATCATCACTCACTCGATCCATCACTCTGCCACCAAGTTGAGTTCCACCATCATCCACCACTCGACATCATACTCGACTGCCAGCTTCAGAGTCTTCTCGATTCCGCAATCAACAAGACACTCGAGCATAAGGAAGAGATGAAGACTTTGGCTCGTCACTCGACCCGCTACTTGATCACCTGGGTCGAGTACCATTCTTAATCTGTCCCAATACTGTGTCGTTTTGAGTATTAGGGTTTCAGAATATTTTGCTATAAGTAGCATGTACTTTATATTTTCAAAAACAAGTTTTTATTCCGCACACAGTTTGTGTGTTATTTGCTTTTGTAATCCGAATTTCTTTTAATTTATTCAGTATTTGTTTATTTTACTAAGTTGTTCATCCTGTTATCATCATGTTATTACTCTTTTGCTATGATGTTTTCATTCATGTCATCATTTATGTTCTCTGTAATGATGTCTGAGTAGTGACTAGGTTTCTGAGGATGGGTTATAGTAGTTTAGAATCCTCTGTCTGTTAGGTGGTTGAGTTTGATTTACAGATCCCTTCTGGATTAGTTGTTCTTAATGCATATTGCTTTCTGATCAACTGGAATTTGAGCCCAGATATTTCTGCACTCAAAAGGTATTCGACGAAATGTTTGAACCACTAATTCCAGAGATTTGTGGCTTTGTACCAAGGTATTGGTTACAGGGAGCGTTTTGGCTTTAACTTGATGATTCCTAATGCCTCTTAGGTTAGCTCTCGTCAATGGTGATTGAGTCTCGGACTAGTTTAACTTGAGGGAGTCTGTTGCGGCGGCACTTAGATTTGGTTATCGAACTTATTGTCTAGGGATAGTTTATTGATCATCTCAATCACTTCTAGATTGAGGAAACTAACTACTCGATTACCCCATCCTCGGGAATTTCTTATCCAATTGATTTCTTTGCTTACACTGCTATTGTTCTCTTGTTCTTATTACTCGTTGCTTAGTTTTTGCATTTCATACTTGTTATCACTCATATACCCGATCACACCCAGTTGTCTAGTAAGAGATTGTGGAGTCGAGTATCTTTGTTACAGTTTCTGCTTGTTACTCGACCTGTCACTCAACCACACCTAGTGCTTGGCAACAAGCAGTGTTGGTCGAGTGTTTTCTTTATCCTACTAGATTTTCTGTTTCCTGCATGTTCACTTAGGAGTACTAGAAACTCAAAAACCTGTTATTGCTTGGCTTGACTCTGTGACCTCTGATGGCATCTTGATTGTTAGCATCACACCCATTTGGATTGACAACCTTCAGTAGTACAACAACATAATAGTGTTTTAGGATTAATTGATGTTAAAAACCTATTATCAAACATCATCTAGCTTTGCAAGGAACTCATCTTCCATCTTGTCCTCTACCTCACCATCAAGGTTTCTGAGTTTGTAATCCATTTTCTTGCTATTTTGTTACGAATTTGAGTTTGATTTTTTCTGTAGAGTTGTTTATCTTGCTTAGATCTACATCATACTCAGTTTACAATGATTTCTGGGTTTTGTCCTTTTTTTAAATTTTGTATGATGATGTTCTTGAGTGTTCTTGAGTAGTGATCTCTAGAGTTCTTGAATATGGGTTAGGTTTAGGTGGACTCCTCTGTTTATTTAGTTAGCTAAGGTTATAATTGCATGATTCCCTTCACGATTAGGAGTTCTTAGTGTTATTTCCTTTCTGATCAACTGGAGATTGATTTTAGACTTTTCACGCCCAAAAGGTGTTTGATGAAATGTATGAACCAACTTATTCCAGAGATTTGCATACTCTACCCCAAGAGATTGGATGTTTAGAATGCTTATTGACTTTAATAGATTGTTGCTTAATGTTTGCTTTGTTATGTTTCATCAATGAGAATTGTGATTAGGAAGTGGTAAAGTTATGAGGATCATTGTCACGAGAGTGGATTGATCTGGGTTAATCTATTGTCTAGGGATAGCTTGATTGAGTTTGTTAGTTAGCTGAACCAATTACTCCATTCTAAAGAGCTACGTTTTGTTTAGATTGATTTAAACTTCGTGTTATTACTCTGTGCTTGTTGTGTTTAGTTATCTTGCTCGACTTATTTACTTGACCAAATTTAGTATTATGCTCGGCCGAGTGCCTTACTTTCTGTTTAATATAGTTTCATTTTGAATCTGATTTGCATGATAACATGTTGCTTGGTTTAGTGGAAACAAACCAAACCTATTCACACTTGGCTTGACTTAGTATTCTCTCATTGCATCATGATTGTTAGGGAGACACTCATTTGGATTGACACCTTAAATACTACAATGACATGATAGTATAAAGGAATTGATCTTTTGGAAACACAGTAAAAACCAGACTATCAATTTGACGTTGTTGCCATTTGGGTGTTTACTTGTTACATTTAGGATTTCTGAGTTATTAAGATCAAGTTCTATTTCATCTTTCTCGAAACTCAATTCTCTTTTCATTTGCTTGTTTTTATCTTGTAAGTACTGTCATACTCGACTAGCACTTCGAGTGTAAGGATCGAGGAACTTCACCCAATGTATGCAAACTCCATCTTAAGGTTTTGACAATCTTCTGCGGTATAGAGACAACATCGACATGATTCAGCGTAACTGAGAGAACAACAAGCCACATCAGATCTGGTTGTGATGGCGACTGAAGACAATGCTAATGAGTTGCCATGCAACATTGGTGTAGGAGATGCACCCATAAACCATCATCAAAGAGCTGATATTGTCCCACCTCCTATTCGGATTAACGACTTTGAAATTAAGAGTGGTTTGATGTCCATGATACAAGGTAACAAGTTTCATGGTCTGCCTATAGAGGAACCATAAGATCGTCTTGAAAGCTTTGATATAGTGTGTAGTTTAATCAAGATCAATGGGTTCGTGACGACAGCTTCAAGCTCAAGCTATTCCCTTTCTCACTTGGAGATAAAGCTCATGTTTGGGAAAAGACTTTGCATGTTGAATCCATATGCACATGGGATGACTGTTAGAAAGTTTTCCTAGCTAAGTTCTTCTCTAACTCAAAAACAGTTAGATTGAGGAATGAGATCTCGGGTTTCACACAGAAGCAATCTGAATCCTTCTCTGAAGTATGGGAACACTACAAGGGATACACTACTCAATGCCCTCATACTTCACCTATTCCAAACATGACGGCTATGCTTCAACAAAACCTAAAAAGTCAAACTACTAGTTCTTTGGTCTTGGAAAAACATATTATTGAGATAAACACTGATTAGGTTCAAATTACCCTAAGAACTATTATCTCAAATATTTAAGGATCGATTTTCACAAAGTTTTTTTGTTCACACAATGAATTAAATATCGAGATTAAGCTAGTAGGGAATGATTGAAAATAAAGGAGAACAAAGTAAAAAGACAGCAGATTAATTGGTTGTAAACGATTAAATAAAGAGTTAGGAACATGGTATTCTCAGGAAACTATTGGTTAGTAGATCTAATGAAAGCTAGGTTGTTATCGAACCATTCTTAAATTCAAACTCTAATTATGGAATAACCGGTGGTGTTCCGCCAAACTCCCTATGCTTATAGCTAAGAATAACCGGAGAAGCCGAGAGATCTTAAACCTAAACATGCATTCTAAACGAGTTCAATTGTTCACCTTACTAGATAGACCGATTCTTATTACACACCTATAAACCAGGTTAATCAAATAATAAATCCAATTACAGATACCTATGGTGGGCATATCTATTGTTTGGATTCAAGATCTAGTTAATTTCTCTAGATCTACCATTAAGTATAATCAAAGATGAAGAATTCTACAGAAAACCTAGAAAAGGAGGCAATATACTAAACCATATGAATCCCCAATGAGAAACCCTATTCCTAACAAGCAAACTACTCAGACATATTGAATGAAACAAACAACATAATTGAGTAACAAAGTATAAACACAGCAAATAAGATAAGAGTAAGAAAGGATCTCTTCACTCTATTGAAAACTGAATAAATCTCTGAAATATTGAAAACTGAATGAATCTCTGAAAACAAATGATGAATAACTTATGTCTCTGAAAATAGGGATTGCAAAGAACTTGATAAAAGGAACTTAGGTCTAAACAACGACCTCTAAAACTATATATAAATCCTATAAAACGTCCATGGACTAATAATGCAAATAGAGAAGTCTTTTGGGGCAAATTTCCACTTTTGTAAACTTGAAAGCATAATGGACTTTGTTAGGCCGAAACTGGTGTCGATCGTCACCAGAAGTGTGTTGATCGACACTCTGCCTGAATCTGGAATCCGGAATCGTCATTAGCTTCCTTTTCCTTAACTTTTGCTCCAAAATGTCTCCTCATCTCCATTGTTGTCCCACTGCATAGAATACCTGAAAAGACACTAAAAGACTCGAGAAATAACATAAACACTAAAAATCCTATACCTAAAACGTAGCTAAAATCAGTAAAAATAGAGTTATATCAACTCCCCCAGACTTAGGTTTTGTTTGCCCTCAAGCAAAACACAAAAGCCGAACCCGTGGAAGAGGTTTTGAAAACAAAGGAACTTCAACATTCTCTAGCCTATTGCCATGATCATCCAAACTAAATCCACATGCCTAACAAGTCTAATCAAATCTTAACCAACATGTACTTCTCTCCACGCTTACACAACTTTCTAGATTCCATACCTAAGTTCCACAACTATATCCACCAGGCTTTCATCGATGGGTCTCATCAAACAAGCTAACATTCAAGATTCTTCTAGACTCATTCTTGAACTATACCATGATAAATCGACCATTCTCGCATACTGGATCGACACCTTCGACAGTTTTCCAACCTTTGTAATTGATCATTCCAAATAATGTATAATAATGGGGTCATAGGAAACATTCCTACCCCGATACACTATCCGAAAATCATGTCAATCTCTCATTTTCTTTTTATTTTTATAAGGGGAGAGGAACACATTCTTTCTATCACATTGGTCTCAATATCAAGTATGAACAAGGAGTCAAGATCTATCAATACTAACCGTTTGAAGAGGTAAAAGGAAGAGCAGTGAGATTAGCTCCGGCCTTAGTGGTTGTGTTGGAAACTAGGATATCCTCAAGTCTGTTGGTATGCCATCTAGATTTTCCAATAGTCGAATTGAGTCGAACCTGCAACACTCATCAATCAGGCAATAGTTCATAACTAAACTAAACTAAACGTTTTTTTTTTTTAAGAGTAAGAAAATGAGTCAATAAACTCAAAAACAAAAATAATAAGAATCAAAAATAAAAGCAATATTGGTAAGAACCTCCCCCACACTTAAACGACACTGTCCCCAATGGCATTCAAATTCGAAGAAGGCGGAAAAAATAAATCAAAAATAAAAGAAAAGAAAAGAACAATCAAACCAGTGGGTTACCTCCCACTAAGTGCTTGTTTTGAGTCAATAGCTTGACTTGGCGGAGTTCAGGATGTGGGTAGATTGGTGGAGGATTGTTGTTGCCTCCGCCCCCTCCATGGCGGTGTGTAAACTGAACCGGTCTGGGCAGCTGCATGTGTCGATCGACACTCAGTGGTGTGTCGATCGACACTCTTCTCGTCACCTGCAAGAACAACAAGGGAAACAAGCATTCGAGAAACTCTAGGCTTGTTAACATGTGAAGCAGACTTCATAGAATCTAAGGAATTAATTGAAGGTAAAGCAGGAGAAGAGAGAGAAGAGAACTTATCACAGAGGGCCTCAAGTGGTGTGGGCTGAAGAGGATGTGCAGAATCCTCTGTCTGTGAATCTCGAGGGTGTCGATCGACAGGAGGGATGGTGTCGATCGACACTGATGCTCTGCAACTCTCATTGGCGAGCTGAGCTGATGGGAGTGTTATGTGTGGCTCTGTTTTGGGATTTTGAGCAGTCAGAGGAGGTGTGTCTGTGCTCTAAACGTAGTTAGTAAGTGCCTCCCCCAAACTTAAACGACATTGTCCCCAGTGCATTCAAATTTGAAGTAAGCAAGGAAAATATAAGAAAAATGTAAATAAAAAGAAAAGAAAACAAAACTCATACTAGTGGGTTGTCTCCCACTAAGCGCTTCTTTATAGTCAATAGCTTGACTTTGTCGAAGTGCAGATGTCAAGTGGATTAGATAGTGGCAGTGATTCCAGCTTGAAACGTAGCTATTGTAGATAATTCTGCTTCAACAAGTGATGGGGGTCAATCTACACTAGTGGTGGTGTCGATCGACACCACCACTAGCAGTCTGAAATCTGTTCCTAGACAATAACAGTCTTCCTTATGTCTCCCTGATTTTGTGGAGCCTTGCAGTGCTCCTCCTAAATCTGGTGCATATACTATTGAGGCATTGGACAAGGAATTTTATGCGTGTAGACTTGTTCAGCAACAGGTGGAAAGTCAAGGCTGATTGGTGCAGTCTGCGTCCAGTGTCGATCTTTATACTTTTTTGAGGCATCCGTTAGTTAACTGGACGCATACTGCACCAATCAGCCTTGACTTTCCAAAAGTAAAAGGGGGACTTGCATCCGTTAGTTAAGCAATGTAATCGAATTTATACTTTTTTGGGACTCTACGAACCATTTTCCGTGGGTCCCATCCGCTACGTAGGGAAACTCCATCTAGTCGTAACGAGCCTTGATACATGATAAAAATACGAAAACAACGTCTAAACAAATAATTTAAGTCCCGTAATATCGTATGGATCACAAAAAAGCCCAAACAATTATATAAAGGTCTAAATTTGGAGTAAAAAAATTAAAAAATATACTTACCATTGCCTTGCTTCTTTCGTCGGAGGGCTCTCATTGTGATTTCCGAAAAGCTATCACGTACCAAATTTTCTCTCACGGTTTAAAAGTTATAGAGTCAAAAAGTTTTAATTAAAAAAAAAACAAAAAGGGATGCAACACGAAGACTTTTCAGGACCCACCCGCTACGTACGGATACTCCATCTAGTTTAAACGAGGCTTGAAACATTAAAAAAATGCGAAAACAACGTCCGAACAAATAATTTTGTTTCTTAATATAGCACGGATCACGAAAAGACCCGGAAAAGTATCTAAAGGTCAAAATTTGGAGTAAAAAAAAAAGAAGGGTACTTACCATTGTCTTGCTTCTTTCGTCGGAGGGCTCTCATTGTGCTTTCCGAAAAGCTATCACATGCCAACTTTGGCCTCACGGTTTAAAAGTTATGAGTCAAAAAGTTTTAACCTAAAAAAAAAGGGATGCAACACGAGGACTTCTCAGGAGGTCACCCATCCTAGTATTACTCTCGCCAAAGCACGCTTAACTGCGGAGTTCTGATGGGATCTGTTGCATTCGTTTTGGTATGATCACATCCGTTAGTACATGCTATGCAATCGTATTTATACTTTTTTGGCCACTCTAGGAACCATTCGCTGTGGGTCCCACCCGCTACGTAGCGATACTCCATCTAGTTTTAACGAGGCTTGGTACATGATAAAAATGCGAAAAAACGTCCGAACAAATAATTTTGTTTCGTAATATAACACAAATCACGAAAAGACCCGAAATAGTACCTAAATGTCAAAATTTGGAGTCAAAAATAAACAATGGTACTTATCATTGCCTTGCTTCTTTCGTCGGATGGCTCTCATTGTGATTTCCGAAATGCTATGACATGCCAAGTTTGGCCTTATGGTTTAAAAGTTATAAAGTCAAAAAGTTTTAACTAAAAAAAAAACAAAAGGGTTGCAACACGAAAACTTCTCATGAGGTCACCCTCTAATACTACTCTCGTCCAAGCACGCTTAACTGCAGTGTTCTGATGGGATCCGGTGCATTAGTGCTGGTATGATCGCATCCGTTAGTACATGTAATGCAATCGTATTTATACTTTTTTGGCCACTCTAGGAAGCATTCTCCATTGGTCTCACCCGCTATATACGGATACTCCATCTAGTTTTAACGAGGCTTGATACGTAATAAAAATGCGAAAACAACGTCCGAACAAATAATTTTGTTTCATAATGTATGGATCACGAACCAAGCACGCTTAACTACAGTGTTCTGATAGGATCCGGTGCATTTTGATGAAATTTAGTTATTTTTATCATTAGAAAAATATTAGAAAAAGTATAATAATGTTACATTTATAAAATTTCATCATTAATTCGTATTATTAATAAAAATGGATTTTATAGTTAATTTTTAGTACAAAATGATAATTAAATCTTTGTTTGGTATCTTTTTTTACTATTTAAATATTGTTTTGTTATTTTATACCTTATTTTGCATTGAGCTTTGAAATTTTAACAAATACTAAATACTTTAAAAACATTTAGTAAACAAATAGAGTTAGTTAGCATTTAATAGTTTTTAAACAAATAAAATAACCTAATACAATATTTCTAATAATAAAACATATGTTACATTTAAAAAAAAACCCGGTTTTGTTAAACAAATGTTTTTGTTTGCTATTGTAATATATACTTAAAAAATATTGAAAAATGATAATGTATAATATATGTTGTGTAGGCAGAATTTTAAAAGTCTATTTAAATATTATAATCATTTTCCCTGTATATTCCATAAATATCAGATTTATCATCATTTAATTAATTTCTTAGTTTTGGAAAAATTTAGATTAATATCTTAATGAATTATTTCTATTTTCAATTCAAGATTAAAACAAAATCAACGGTCAAGATTTTTGTGTTTTTAGAATATCAATAAACTGTTGAGATTATAAAGTGAAACCAGGTCAAAATCCGCATCAAAAAGATGTGTGTGTTTTGAAACTGTTTTTTCCATGAAATAAGTTTTTTTAACCCACTTGTATTTTTGTGATTACTTCAAACTTTTTACCCACCTCACTAAACAAACTGCACAAATAATAGTATATATATATATATATATATGCTTTATACAAATCTCTGCTTTTCTAATCCAAATCAATTCAAGATACATAAATCGTTTGATCAAATTTAAATGATAAGACGCTATATATGATAATGAAAAAATGATAAAACCAAACTGTTTATCATCGTATCAAAAACCAATGAATGAGACATTCAAAACTTTAATAACCAAACCTACCTACATGTATAAGGCTCACCTTTTGATCCTCATCGGGTTTCTGCAAATTGACAAAACAAAGACTAAAATCCAAAATCAAAAATTTTAAAAAGAATTACTCATATTCGACAAATATAGAGAGGTGGAAAATCTTAACATATTACTTTGCATAAAAGATCCTACTATATTATTTGGGAAGTACATTTTAAATGTAACCTCAATTTTTGTAATTAATTACATGAAATGCCATTAGAAAAAATTAATCAAAAACAAAATCTTTTAATGACGTCATTAAGATTACCAAAATCATTTAACGACAATATTCATTTATTAATTATATGGCTTATCGGATCTAAAGACGGGTCATCAAAGATTTCCTAAACTGAAGCAAAATATACCGAATATTCAAATATCTATCTGTTACCAAATTAGAAACAAATAAGTTAATAAGTCAATAACTATTTGGAGGGACGGGTTTTTGAATCAACATTAATAAAAAAGTAAAATATAATTAATCCACCGTTTCAATACGGGTAAAATCTTTAATTTATTATTTTTTAAGACCACTAATATTAAACATATCAAATCATCCTAATTTATAAAAGTTTATATAAAACAAAAAATGTTATGTGGTATGTATAATGTTACTATATATAAAATTAAACTATAAAATATAAATGTATTAGAGAATGATACAATTTGCAAAACTTTTATATATAATAAATAATTCTTTAAATTTTTAAAAATACTACTTTAAAAACAAATCACGAGACGGGTAAAGAAATTAGAGAACGGGTTTTATTTTGGAATTGAGTTATATGGTGGATGTATTTGAATCAATATTTATAAAATTTTAAGATATTATTAATATGCTGTTTTAATAAGGGTAAAAACTTCAGTTTTTAACAATTGTCTCAATAAAGAAATTACATAACGGGTTTTATTTTGGAATTGGGTTATATGGTGGATGTATTTGAATCAATATTTATAAAATTTTAAAATATTATTAATATACTGTTTTAATAAGGGTTAAAACTTCAGTTTTTTAACAATTTTCTCATGGATTCGTGGTATAGCGTTACTTAATAACAATTATAAACTGTAAAATAGAAATATTTTATAAAAATAAAAATTGTAAGTTTTAATATATATTACCTTTAAAAAATAAATCGTTTCGCGTGGGGGCAGCCTAAGCCTGATAGAGGCAGAAGAATTCCAACAATTTCTCCCGCTCCTCAAAAGTGAGTTGCTCCTCACGTACGCATGTTCTAATAGTCGAGTTGCTGTTGCTAAAGCACCTATGGTTCCATCCCTGGTAACTTCAACCGGTATACTGCACGTTAAAATCTAGTAAATAATTAGAAAGGAAGACATACTTTAACAAAATCATTTGTGCATCTACATCATCATCTTCCACATTACCTGCATGAATATTAACAAAAAAGTATGTCAGAAAATATATGAAATTAAAATTTTTATAAAATATAAACAATATAAAAATAAATTACAGATTTAAAACGAAATTAAGGTTTGTAGTAGAATGCGCTATTTCACCTAGTGGAATGCATGGTCTTATATAGTACTGAAGAAGGAAGGCTCATTTAAGGGTTTGAAAACGAATATTCTGTTTAGTTTGTAGAAAAAAATTTCGATTTAAATTATTATAAATTTTAGAAACTTGATGAATTATAGAAATAATTAATGAGTTTCTTAAACATAAAGATTTAAAATCCCTAAATTGATGTGAAGTAATTTTTGAAATGTGTTGTAAATTATTTTTCAAAATATGCTTAGGATTTTTCAAATTTAAACAATACATAATATTAGGAATGTTACCTAATAGAATCAATAAGTTCAAGATTTGTTAATGATTTTTTTGATGGGCTGAGGGGAGACAATTGTCAACCCCATTTTATTAAAAGAACTACAAAGAATTACATCAAAACTGCTCTAGGGAACGATGTCCCGTTAGCATCCTCAACCAAAAATAAAAGAACGTCCTCAGGACATATCTCAAAACAATGAAGTCCTAGGGGTAAGGAGAAAGCATAGTTTGCTAACCCGTCAGGTAGACGGTTAGCTTCCCTATACACGTGTGACACTCGGACTAGCCAGTCCCTTGTGAAAAAGCCTTGGCACAACCGTACCAGGAAGGACAGCGGATGAGCCTTGCTGATCCCTGTGCTTAGAAACCCCACCACCAATTCTGAATCCAAATTTAACTCCACCCATCGAAAGCCCTTATCCCAAGCAATGAGCAACCCATAGTAGGCACCCCATAACTCAGCTAACGGCGCATCACAATACCCGATATTAAGTGCAAACCCACCGAGCCATTCCCCCTGCAGATTAAGGATTGCCCCACTTGCCGCAACTAATCCCTGGTGTCCCCTCGATGCTCCATCTGTCGTCAGTTTGACCCACCTGTCGCTTGGTGCCTTCCATCTTATCATCCTTTCTACCCGTGCTCTCTTCACATGGTTATTTAACGTTCCCACCTGAGCTTTCCGAACCTCCTCTGCTATATCCTTGATGAACTTCAATCTATCCTGACATAACTTGCGTTACCCAAATACATCGCCACATCGCCACTTCCATGCCCACCATATCCCCATACTAAATAGCGTAAGCCAATCTCCCTTCGCCGGATCCAGATTTGTAAACAACCATTCAAATTGACTGAAAAACTCGTTCTGCCTTCTTTGTGGCAGCAGCCTTTGCCAAATAGGTGTCATCGCCGGACAGTCCCTCAACACATGTAAGATCGATTCATCAGCTCCATTACAAACCGAACAAGTTGCAATGTCACTTAAGTGTCTCCTCACACGCTCCACATTAGTCATAATAACCATATGACTCACCAACCAGATGAAAACTCGTACCCTCTCCGGCGCTACCAGCTTCCAAATTTGCTTTAAAAAACTCCCTATGAGTGGCCTCTCCTCAGCCTCAGGTTTTAGCAGCTCATAAGCGGACCGAACCGTGAAGTTCCCATTTTGCGTTCCCTTCCAAGATAACTCATCACTTGTCCCTGGAAAATCATGCACCACAACAGAAAATAATTTTCGCAAGATATTCTCCAGCAGGTATAGAATTAGAGCTCCCATGTCCCACCCCGAGCCTGCAATCTAGTAATCTGCTGCTACCTTAGTGAGCGCATCCGCCGATATTGATTCTTTGGCCACCGCCGAGAGTTGTTCCTGCAACAGCCAACGATCCGACCAAAAACTTATAGTTTTCCCATCTCCAGGGATCCACCTGACTCCCTTAGCCACCACTTCTCTAAGTCCAACTGTAACACTTCGCCACGTGGAGCTCCAGCTACTTTTAGGTTTCAGTCAGTTTGAATTTTGCATTTCTCCCACCTTGTACTTCTTGCTAAGGACTCTTGCCCAAAGTATCTCCTTATCATGGAGAAGACGCCACCCTACTTTAGCAACCAACGCCTACTTCATCTTTGGGCTGACATATCTTATTCCAGGCTAAGAGGTGCTTCTTCTTCTTCTCCAAAGTACTCCCCCAAAGAAAATTATGTGACAAACAATCCAAGCTATATAAAGTAGCAAAAGGAAGTATTATTGCACTCATTACATGGACCGGTATGGTTGACAAAACCGCTTTTGTAAGCGTTATTCTCCATGCCAGACTCAAAGACCGACTCTTCCATCCCGCCAAGCGAGACGAAACGCGTTCCAAGACTTCTCCAGAAGTCTCTTTGTTCATTCTCTTCTGTAAGATAGGCATTCCCAAATACTTCCCCAACTCTTTAGTATAGCCAATCCCACTCT